AGCGTTATTTCAATCTAAAGAATACCACTTTATAGGTCGGATATGTAGACTATTTGACCTTTACAAATGTATACTGCCGAAACTGACAAGCATTATGAAACAGATAATCGCTTGATTTGGGACAAAGCCACTAAAAACGAGGGAGTAATAAAGAGAGCGCAGATGCCATGGACATGGTGAATTTCCTCCATAGTGACATGACAACTCAAAGAGACGACAAGAACGTTTTGGACAGTGTACAAACACCCCGTTTTTATTGATGTGTTGTTATCTCACTCTGCTACAGCTGTGCCGTGGTCGTGACACCTTGACCCGTAGATAATCCGACATTGTTGCCCAACAAATCCTGCCTATAAAGAGTTACAGCAATAAAATAGCACACAACGTTAGTCTCACCCTACATTCAACGCAACGTCTTAGTTCAAGCAGGTAACCAAACCATGGCTCCTTACCTTCTCTAACAGTAGACACGCGACCAGGCACTCCTGAGCCTTGCGACTATGCCAACTAGCAAATGCCTCACGAACGAACGGATCGAGCTTACATACGTCACCGAGACCGTTATTCAACCCCGGCAGCTTCTTTACTCATTCTGTCCTTGTTAGCCTGAGATTCATTTATCTCGGACCCGAAGATAGACAAGCGATGCACATCCTTCAAATTTTCTCCTTTCACTCGACGCACCAATTCGCCACCTTCTTACTGTCAAACTTCCGTCCCACCTAGTTTCGGTAAAGTGCGTCCAGAATCTTCACTTTCGGACTGCCGCTACTTCTTGTTCAATAAGTCCACGATTCGGTACAACATCCAGACTTTTTCGTAGCGCGTCTTGAGAGCCTCGATCAGCGCTTGTTCAGCAGCTTCTTCCCCTTTCGCAGAGTACTCGATAAAGTGTTTGAGCACTGCCGCTCCATCGAGGTCAAGTATCGTCGTATCAGGCAGTACGAATTTGGCAACGTCGTCCACACGCTTCCCCTCCCAGTGCTTCGCCAGGCGATCGAGGTACGCAAGTCCCGTCGCCGCTTGATCCGGATCCCCCAACCGCGTGAATTGCGCCGCCACAATCGCCCCCATGTGCTGTTCGTCCAGAGAGAGAGACGCCCAGTTCGATCCGAGAATATCCAGCTTTTTCGCCTCATCCCAACCTTGAATCGTTGCCAGCTTTGTCTTGTATGCCGCTATCGCCTCGTTCAACTCCGCCTTCTCTACATCACTCACTAGTTCGTCGAACGTGGTATAAGCTATCACCTTGATCGATGCATCCGTAGGCTCGCCATTCTCTCTCAATATCGTGGATACGTCTTCTCGAGTACGCCCTTGTCGAAACCAGTGACGAGCAAGTGCGTGCAACAACTCAATTTCCAGTCCTTCATGGTTGACATACTTGTTTGCTAAGGCCACGACTCGGTACAACGGCCCGTCGCCCCTGTACTGCAGTAGGAGAGCCTTGATCAGCATTTCTTCAGCAACTTCCTCCTCTTTCTCGAAGTATTCGATAAAGTGTTTGAGCACTGCCACTCCATTGAGGTCAAGTATCGTCGTGTCGGGCAGTACGAATTTGGCAACGTCGTCCACAATATTTCCCTCCCAGTGCCTCGCCAGGCGATCGAGGTACGCAAGTCCCGTCGCCGCTTGATCCGGAACCTTCGACCGCATGTATTGCGCCGCCACTATCGCCCCCATGTGCTGATCGTCCTTAGTCAGAGACGCCACATCTTTCGATCTAAGAACGGCCAGCTCTTTCGCCTTATCCCAATGTTGAATCGTTGCCAGCTTTGCCTCGTTTGCCGCTACCACCGCCTCCACAGTAGATATCTCGGAATTCAGTGCGCCGAGATGCTGTAGGAGAAAACCTGTGCGACGTCGGAGATTGCTCTCCGTGCCCTTCACGACAACGCCCTCCAGCTTCTCGAGCCCCCCACCCTCCATCCTCTCTTCACCTTCCTTCAGCTGGTCAGACCTCAACCGCCTCTCTACGAGAGCGAAGTCGGTGGCAGGACCGGTTCGAGCCGAATGGAAGTCGGCGACAGCTTTAGCCTCCACTGATGATTTGTCGACGCACGCGATGAAGGCAGCGATGGCTACGATGTTGGAGGTGTAAATTCGCATCGTAGAAGAGAGGGAGATTGCTTTGACGGAGACGCGGCAAGTTGTGGAATGACGTAAATCCGGACAGGCCAACCTCTACAAGAGTGTGGCTCAGAGGTGAGCTCGGAATTTGCAGCGTAGAACTTGCCCAAGGACTGATTTTTAAGCTAGTCCTTGTACTGAGCTAGAATAACCAGTTCCCAAATCGTGCTGTCTGGGATCGGCTGCATTGCCTTCATAAACAGTGCGCTAGGCAAGAGGCTCAGACTGTCGATTATAGCTACTCATCACTCATAAGATGTCGGGTTGTGTGGTACCCACCTCGTGTCATCTACCATGACATAGTCTTACTACTCCTAGCTTTCTCATTCTGCTGGCTCAAGACGTCGGGCGACACGGCGGGGCACTCCCAAAAGGACCTGTAAAACCGTCCGTTGGCCAAGTCCGGGGTTAGATTCTTGTGTGCACTCTACCGGATGACGGGGCTACTCTCGCGCTCAGAGCACTTTTCGATTCAGGGGACAGAGGACGCTTGGCTAGGAGTAATGTTACCACTGCGGCAGTCCCAGCGAGCGATCTTGACGTAACCCCTGGCCATCACCTCGTAGTTGACTTCTTGCTCTTCAGGTCAGCTCGGGCTCACGACGTGCTCAAATGTGCCCAGACAGTGCGCTATGCGTGATCGATCAGCTGCATGCACCTACCTGCCTCTTCGACGCGGACAAGCTTCCTACCACGTGCGGCTGATCTGGCTGAAGTGCAAAGGTGACTCGCAGGAAAGAAAGCTGGACAAAACGAGGCTGCTTGAGAAAATCCAGGCTGAACCTTTGGAAGTAAGATGCCTCGACTGATCAAGAAACTGTGACGGGATTGAGGTGCGACCAACAGATTGTTCATTTTATCGCGCAATGCAGCTGACTACCATCGCGCATTTGGCAGGGATCGAACACAGTAAAATTGCACGAGGAAGCAAAGAAGCTCCTGCGCGACTTGCTGTCTTTTTGTGCACAGCGATTCACAGAGCTAGGATAGAAAGAGACAACGGTCTGCACGAGGTAGTCGAGGGACACCGGAGTGGAAGATGCGACTCGCGATATCGCGGTCAAATGTATCGTCGAGGGCAGCTGCTGCTAATCATCAGCGATATGCGGAAAGATTGCTCATATCTAGTCCGGGTTGGATTCATCAAGTCTTTGACCATCGTTTCCCGCCAGCTCACGGAGCTGCGATCCACACGAAGCAATTTCCAACACAGGGCAACTGAATACCAGAAACAGGTTGACTTCCTCCGGAAAAAGTCAACATTTTCGCCTATAAAGCAGAACTACATAGGCGAAAAGCATCACTATCCCAAGACGACGCCGGAGTCAATATGCATCACTTGTAGCGCAGCGTCTCGCCATTGTATACTTTTTGGAGCTTTGTACGCGAGTTTAGCGTACCCAGGTATGGCTCTCTTCCTACATGTCCCATTGCGTAACCTCATAGACGCACTAGACGCAGTCATGGTGGGCACGAGTGTGTTTACCCATGGTCCAAGCACGTGACACAATACACGGAAAAGCGTTCACGAAATCTAATTCCAGGGTCGTCAGATGGCTGATGCTTCGCTGCAGTTCGGTCTGTAGCGGTTGCGGTCAGCACGATCAGCATCTGGTCGACCAGACCGGGTCGCCTGCAAACGAGACTGACTGGCTCATACCGACTACGTGCGCGCTCCGCTGCGCTACTTCTGCTGCAACTCTCGCTGCAAGTCGCGTATAATCAGGCAGCGGAGCCTAGTTGCTGTGAGCAACGACTTGATCACTAGCGCACTCGACGCACTGGCGAAAACAGTGTATGTTCCTCGACGCTATGACCTGTCTTCGTAGAGTCAAACAAGACTGCGAAAATGTCGTATGCTACACAGTCGTGGTCACATCCCGGCATTTGTGCTGTTACGAAATCAATGAGCTACAGCTGTGCATTCTCGCGCCTCACAATTTCATGTGCCACTCGCTCTAATGCATTGATCCATGCTTTTGACGTCCCGTAACTAGTCACAGTCTACTTACCCATCGTCGCTGTTAATCTAGACAGCCTGCTGGAGACTTGGCAGCCCCCAGTCGATCATGATGTACTTCGCGAACGTCCGCGTCGAATCACTCTCTGATACGAAAAGTGGTTATCCAGAACTTTTCGTCTCGCAACGACCACCGAGCCCACACGTAACTCTTCACGATTATTGTACATAGGAGCTTTTGAACTGAATCCCCTCGTTCTTAAGTTGTGCCATCGATTGGGTAAACCTTGGCTTCGACCTCTGTGCGCTCATCAGCAATGGTGTCGGGTACGACCATCGTGGGCCTCTTGACCTCTAACAACTGGATCTGCACGAGCTTTCTCTCTCTTATCGTATGGACTCTGGGAAGACATGCAGTCGGAGTTCTCGAGAGTCCGGAGCGCCGCTGCACATGCGTCACGGTCGAGACTTGTCATAGGCGCTGCTGAACCTGTTGCAAAGGATCGCGATAACTTTGAGATGCTGTCGTCCATCGAGGAAACCCTAATTCTGCGTCTATTGACAAGGGAGGTGACCGCAGGTCGCAACACGTTGTCGCTGCATGAAATCATGGTAGCCGCTGCGTGAAGTCATTGCTATGAAAGGGAGCTAAATAACTCGGCCAATTTCGTGCTATGTCTCACAGCATCTGTCAGCACACGGACATCTATTCACTTGGAGACTGCTCGCATTGTGAGGCGCTAGTGTCCATGTCTGATTGCGATTGTCCCCCCCCATCTTGGCGGAGAATGACTCACAAAATCGGTGAACGAGACACTGGATGTGTTGCATTCTGTGCTAGTGCTCTGGCAGACCGTGGTAAGAGATTGTTGATCGAGCCCACGAGCCGCGCCTGATAGTTGTAGTGAAGATGGAGCGAAACGCTATCATGTTGTTTCTCAATGAGCCGACGAACGATTTGACGCCCACACGGCGCCTACGACGGCGCGCAGATGCACGCGATCGAAAGCTCGCTCGGGTCAAGCAGTTCATGCAGGACTAACTAAGTCACCGTGTTGGTATTTGAGCTGCTTGAAAGTCTCCTATTGCTCGTTTGAGCATGCGTAAAGATTATTGCGTATTCAGGGCACTGCTCGTAAACTAGACCTAAGGCAGGCGTTGGATGGATCGGGCATCATCCGACACTACGCTGTCGACGGATTGATTTCAGTTATCTTCAGCATGAAGATCTACCAGTTGCCTGCTGCTTGTGTGATGACTGCCAAGTTGCTTCTCAGGCGTCCCACAAAAGCACGCATTGCAGCGGCGTGACCAGAAGGCAACACGGCTACATCGCACTTTTTATAACGTCCAAGGTACGCTATGCGTTATTTACAGACATACACATGGGCAGAGAGAGGATTGGAAGCTCTGTATTCATGTTGGGCACAGTCACTCATAGCTCCGCCCTTCGGAAATTCAGTTATAGGTCTCACTCTTTGGGTTGATCAGTTATCGCGACGGCATGGAAAGCGGAAGTCACAAAAGCACCTATGTCCGCACATGATTAATTCAAAATCGAGCACTGATGAACAGAGAATCAGCAAGTATAGGATCGACACTTAGAGGCAGCAAAAATCTCGCACCGTCAGCAAGTAAATGTGAAGTATGTATTGATAGTACTTGTTACACAGAAAAGTAAGAATGTATGGGGACTCGGTGGTAGAGTAAGCTCCCTTATCTAAATTGCTCTTTTTCATCAACCAATTGTATGTCGTCGTAGGTGCTTTGTTACTTAAGGCGTACCGGGCTTTATCATCCTCCGTCTTCTTTTCACCTTTACATTCATCAAACCATCAAATGCATCAACGAAAAGCCCCAACACACAAAAATCATCAGAACTTACACATTTTGACGCACAAAACACAGCTCAATTGTAACGGGGTTGCACGGAATTATGGTACTTTGCACCAGGTGTGTCACACACCTGAGGGTACCCCGTTGTGAAGGTGATATAGAATACCTTATTGGTTTGTAGGGGCTGACGAGTGTCATCCATTAGGTACGAAAGATCTTTGAGTAGGATTAAGACATTCTATAAGCTTTAACATTAAATAAAATCAGTTCCCATTTTAATCTAAAGGACACGTGGCTTGCGAGCCGTCTTGATCGTTGATCACTGATCACTAAGAGTTAGCGACACCTCCTTGAGGTAGCTACTCTTGAGCACTGAGTGCTGTCGATTCACTGAATCGTTAGGTTACCTGGAACAGGGACCTGAAGCTTTACGCTTGTTGACTCGTGGAGTCGTTAGTTCTTTATAACTAAGTTGCTCGTAGAGCGTTAAGTATTCCTCTGACTTATGGAGCAGTGTAGCTCCGCTACTCTTGGTAGCACTTGTAGTCAATCTACGCCTGAGTCTTTAAGACTGATCATCTGTGAGGATGGAAAACTCCACTCTTCTATCTGAGGCCCAAAATGTCGCGCTTGAAAAGCTGACCGCATCTTTGGGTCCAGAGTACGTGGAGTTCCTTGTTTCACAAGGTCCTGAAGTGCTCAATGCACGTGTTGAAAGCTTCATGCAGTATGAAGCGACCCTTATAAGGCAGGTCCAAGAACAAGTAGCGTCGGCTATGCCTACACGCTACGTGTCTGTACCAGACGAAGAGGCCAAGCTTCGTCCACTTAGAGTAGTAGTGAAAAACTACTCCGGTAAGGAGGGTGAGAACCTCATCCTCTGGATCCGTGAGATTGAGATGGCCATGAGATCAGGCCTGATCACGCTTGACCATCAACACGTCTCGCTGGCTATCTCGAAGCTCGATGGAAGAGCTGTAGAATGGGCCTTGACGTGCATCACGTCGGTGGACATGGCGTTTTCCTCATGGGAGTCGCTCAAGTAACAATTGGTACAGGTGTTCTCTCCACCTAACCAGGCTTACCGCGTGCGCTCACGCTTTCTTTCTACCCACCAGGGTAAGAATGAACTATTGGACTATGTCCAAGAGCTGCGAGCGCTCATGGCTGCAATGCAGTCTGACTCTCTGCCTGAGGCAGTCCGTGTGACTATCTTTATGGAAAATCTAAGTTCTGGCATTGCCAGAACCGAGGTTATTCGGGTTAACCCCTCTACGTCTGAAGAGGCTGTGAGAATTGCTCTCAATGCTGAGCATAACTTTAATTCGGCCAGATTTGGCTGGAAAGGGTACAATCCTCGCTCTGTGAGAGCAAACTTTTCGGGTTTTACTGCCTATGATAGGCCGGAGCCGATGGATCTCAGCTATGCTGAAGATGAAGGTGAAGCTGAGCTTCAAGCTGCTGAGCAGCAACACGTCGCACGACATTGTTTTACGTGCGGAAGCACTAAACACTTGCGGCCTGGTTGCCCTTTGCGTAAGCAACGCCAGGCTACGAGCCAACACACGACCCCGAGTCAGAAGTCTGGCATGTCACGGGGAAATGCCGACACCCAGTAGGCGCGGGGCGCCCTACTGGGGAAGAAGTAGGTTCTGTTACACCTTTAGAGGGTAAAGGAAGGCAAGGCTTAGCCCCAAAGAGTACCATACCTACGGGTATGGTGCGTGGATGCAAGTCCGGCTTGTTGGTCGCCGAGGCAGAAATTCAGGGTTTTGAGATGCCTTGGTCGATATGGATCAATTCTGGAGCGTCTTGCAATTATGCTCGACGCCGTTCCCTTGAGGAAAGTCAGCGTTATGCTGAGGCGCTTACAGCGCCTGAGGGTGATTCTGTAACGGTTCGTATAGCGACTGGGAGTCGTGTAACTGTGCCTAAAGTTCCATTAAACTTAGGTATAAAGTTTTTAGACTTTCACAGTATTGAGCGCTGTCTTGTCCTCGATTTTGACTCGAGATATGATCTAATCCTAGGTATGGCTTGGCTTGAACGCCACGAGCCGTAAATTTGATTGGAGGCCTTAGACCTTAGGCGCCACGCGCAATGCTCCTAGCGAAGTTTTGGAGAGTCATTAACCCACCTTCGCTAGGCAACAGAAGCGCTATTGGCGCGAGCCTTTGACAGAGGATGTCAATGTGCTGGACATTAAAATGTCTAAGTTATCTAACTCCAATGTTACCAACAAAAGTTACGAGCACAGCTCGTCTAAATGTCGTGAAACGAGACGTACTCCGTTGAGTGTTACTCGTTGTGATAACGAGTCACTGCATGCTGAAAGCATGGTTGGCCCAGGGCCAAGAAATTAAGGATGTGATTCCTTTGATGTGTGTGTGGTGGCACGTGAAACTACACCGAGTGCGGTCGGCCGTGAGAGCACCGCACTGAACGTCGGTGTTGACATTGTTGGCCATGTGCCATTCAGTGTGATTCCTTTGATGTGTGTGTGGTGGCACGTGAAACTACACCGAGTGCGGTCGGCCGTGAGAGCACCGCACTTAATGTCGGCACTGACATTGTTGGCCATGTGCCATTAAGGGCGGCCGTGAAGGCACCACACTTAACGTCGGCAATGACGTTGGCGATAGCCGTGTAGTGTGGGCGGCCGTGAGGGCACCACACCTAATGTCAGTAATGATTTTGTTGGCAATACGCCATTAAGTGTGGGCGGCCGTGAGGGCACCACACCTGATGTCGGTAATGACATTTTGGCAAGACACCGTTAAATTTAGGGCTAGACCCCATACTGCATGTGGAGTGGCACGTTAAAATCCAGTGGGTGAAGAGTTCGAGTTGTGTAACACTTCCTCGGATGTCGGTCAAGACATAAGCTCTCGTATAGAGCTTACTATGGTTGGTATTAACCATGGGGACAATATTGTCCCGACCCCTAAGGGGTGTAAGGTCTCGAAGAGACGATCGAGACGCCGGGTAGAAACTGTAAAGCGCCAGGCGTCCACACAGTAACATGGTGATAATAGTAAAACACTATGTACACTTGTTAATGGAGTGACTGGTCAGGTTGATGGCATTGTTTGCCTTGAAACCCTTCCATCTTTGGACTCTCTTTGTGAGCTAGACGATATATCTGATGGCGAGTTTAGCCAGACCTCAAAGGCAGGAGAGCAATCCAAATTAGCGGTCATTAGACCTAATGGTGAGTTGAACTCTTCCTTGTTAATGGATGAGTCCATCATAGAGGGTACAAAGGCGGCACTAAGTGGATCTTCGATCATTAAAGATCCTTTAGATCCGTTCTATCCTTTAGTTAAGAAATATAATATGTGGTGTGTCACAATCCACCTTCTGCCTTACCACCCGATAGAGGTGTATGTGGTGAAGTCGATCTCACAAAATTGCTTGTATGAGTGTCGATCTTCCATTTGCCCAGACTTGCCGACTCACGGAGGGGGCACTCCGATCCGTGCCTTGTTGTATGACCTTGTGCTCACCTTGTGTACCCGTCGGTTGGGCTGGCTTGAGCTCTTCGTAACGGCCTTGGGAGATTTCGATCTCGCTGAGAGGTTGGGTTGAGGGTTCGCTTCCGGTGCGGAAATCTTCACACCACGAACGGGGGTTCTGCGATCCCGATCTTGGATCGCACCGATCTTGATTTGTCTTCGAGATCGGGGTCTTTGCTGTGCGGAAATCTTCACTCAGCAAATAAAAGTCCTGCGTTGATCTTGCCTTGGGATCGGTCCGATCTGGTCTTGGGATCGGCCGATCTTGCCGGAAGTGCGCAAATTGGGTAGATCGGTGTCTTGTTTCGCCAAAGTGAAACGTGCCGATCTGTCCAGGGGATCGCTTCGATCCTGCTTGGTCTTGTCTTGAACACCTTGTCCAGATCTTCTTACCACTTGAGCCGTCTCGCGATCCTGTGTCCAAAATCCTTTTCCTTTTCCGTTGTGTGCTGCTACCCTAGCAGTTGAGTTGAGTGTGAGTACTTGATCGATCCGGGCCAGATATCCCGGGATCGCTCTTCTCGATCTTGGCCAACAATCCAAGATCGGTCTTCTGTGTCCCTGTAACACGCGTGCCTTAACCCGCCGGGGAAGCCAAATCAATCTTGCCTGGAGAAGAGGGGAGGATAACGTGCGTCGTAAGCAGAAGAAGTAGAGTTCAAGTCTGTTTATTAATCAACCAAATTACTATCCAACCTATCCTTAAGCCTATTCTTAACTATAGGTCACTCTTCAAACCGATATCGCCTTGAATCTGGATCGCCCCCTTGCCACGTGTCTAAATTTCGTGCCCTGTACTCCAATGATAGCGCCAATATTCCCGATACCGTACCTGAACGCCAAAAGAGGACCAAATCCCAAATGGGGTACCAAATACCCATTTTTGGTGCCCAAAATAGTGCCCAAATGCCGAAGGCGTCTAAATCCATTTTGCGACGTCAATTTAACCGGCTTCCACTGGCTCTTTCGATCTGAACTTTTGAGACATCACTCATGGACCTTCAACAAGCATGTTTGTCATGATCCAAAATTCTCATCAACGATACATCCATAATCAGTGGGGATCATGACCGATCTGATGCCCAATTCGAGATTGTTGAGGATCGACACAGTACAATCCGGCCATATATGTTCTTCCGTTCATTGTGTGCACTCCGATGCTTTATCAAAATGATTCTGCTTCAACATCCACATCCTTGCCTCTGATCAGCCTTCAGAGTGGTCGTTCGGTTCAATCCAGTCCCTCATCCCAGATCGCACCGTGGAAATCACCCCTTGCTACGCCCCGTCTCAAACCACGTCGCATCGCCTGGTCCCAGGCGTACTTTTCTCAGATGATTCTGCTTCAACATCCACATCCTTTACTTTGATCAGCGTTTAGAGTGGTCGTTCGGTTCAATCCAGTCCCTCGTCCCAGATCGCACCGTTGGAATCACCCCTTTTTACGCCCGTCTCAAATCACGTTGCATCGCCTGGTCCTAGGCGTACCTCTTCCGCCAGTGGGTGACATCTTAACTGGGTGGACACCGATCCACGTCCCATCATTTGATTAGTGACTTTACCACAGTTACACCTTCGTCGCAGAGTCATATCCCATCACCCGGTCCCAGATCCTTTTCCCAAATTGTTCCATGTAAATCGTTCCATATCGCTCCGTCCCAGGTCGATTCATACCCATTAGTCTAACGACAGTTGGATCGGTTCGCCGATCCCGTTAAGATCATCTTCCACCTCCGTATTGGATCGCCGAGTCTCATGGCCTCCTTTTCCACCAGTAAGCGGCGCTTTAAAGGTGTGGCCACCGATCCTCGTACAAAATTTGAGTAGTGACTTTGCCACATGTACGTCATGAAATTGACTTGGTTCCTGGGACCAAATACTGCGTAACACGGAAGTGGCCTTTGCCTTAAGAACAGTGTGAGTTCATCGACGATTTCTTTCGTGCTAAGCACGGGGCTGGAGTGGTTCGTGAGAGCAAATGTCCCCGACACTTTGTGTCAAGAAGCCAAATGGAAAGTGGCGCATTGTGCATGCTTACGATAAGCTTAATGCAGCCACTATACCGGCGCAGACGCCTATTCCTAGAAAGGATATTCTTTAGAACAATATTTTAGGATGTACATTGTACCGTGCACTCGACTTAGTCGATGGTAATTACCAGCTGCAAGCGAGCGAGTGATATTTCTAAAACAGCGGTGAATACTCGGTGAGGTATGCTCTAGAAGTGGCTCGTTATGTCACAAGGGCCGTTGAACACCCCGAATACTTTTAACCGTCTGGTGACGCAACTGTTAAGAACTCATCGAGGTTACGCACATATGTACTTTGACGACATCTTTTCCATATTCGTGCAAAGAGTGGTCGGTCAGATGTGGATGACAACATCGATCATTTACGAGTGGTGCTAGAGTGCATGCGCACAAATGGATTAACGCTAATGCCTCTAAGTGCATCTTTGGTGCAGAAGAATTTCCTCTATCAGGGTGCTTTGTTGGGAAGCGAGGCCTTCGAGCGGACCTCGCTAAGGTAAAGGCCATAGTCGACTGGCTAGATCCTAAGGAAAAAACAAAAGGACTTACGTTGTGGCTTGGCCTTGCCAATTACTTGCATAAAAAATTGTGCAAAATACGCAGACATGGTTAGGCAATTATACAATTTATTTAAAAGGATATAGATTAATGTTGGGGCGGTACATAACATGATGCTTTGAAGCAGTTAAGGAGAGTCTCCTTCATGCGCCAATATTGGATTTGCCCAATCCTGATCGGCCTTTCAGTGTCGTATGTGACGCATCTGACCTTGCCATAGGCAGTGCTCTGTTACAAACAGATGTCGATGGACGCGAACGCGTCATCACATTCGAGTCTCGGAGCTGAATCCTGCCAAAAAGAACTATCCAGTTCATGACAAAGAGCTACTTGCTATGAAGTACGCTCTTGTCAAATTCAGAGTACATCTGCTTGGCTCAAAGCCGTTTGTAATTTTTACGGATCATGCGTCATTACGAACTGCGACACAATCACCTCAATTCTCACAGAGAATAGATCGTTGGCTTTCCTTCTTTGCCGAATACAACTTCGAGGTGAGGTACAAGCCAGGTAAGCAAAATGCTTTGGCTGATGCGCTATCCCGTCGACCTGACTATGAGCTTGCACATGTTACGACTCTGTCGTCGTCAGTCACTGACTAAATTCGTGCGGCATATGCCAAGGATGATCAGTGCGTAGCCTTGCTACGTGCTCTTGGGAGCGATGAGTTTAAAGACTCGGACATAGAATTGTCGGCACGTTTACGTGCGAGGATACATCGATATTCCATCGATAATGGCCTGTTGTGCTGTCGCACGGATATTGAGGATAAGCCTCGTATCAATGTATCTCATGATGAGGAATTAAAGTATCGAATCCTCCACGAGGCACATGATACTGCTTTAAGTGGTCATCTCGGTCGTAAGAAGACTTATAGCTCGGTGAGCCTAAGTTATTGGTGGCCCAAACTTTATAGGTGGGTGCGCACCTATGTGCGTACGTGCGAAACGTGTCAATGGGTTAAACCCTCTGCACATGCGGCGGCGCCGCTGGCTACTTTGCCAGTATCCACTGGTTGTTGGGAGTCCATGAGCATGGATTTTGTGTTTGGCCTACCGAAAGATTTGGAAGGCAACACTTGTATTGTGGTCTTTGTTGACCGATTGAGCAAGATGGCTCACTTAGCGTCTGTGCCGGATAGCATCGATGCTGAAGGTACATCAAAGCTGTTTATCGACCGTGTGTTTCGCCAACATGGCTTGCCGGTAGCAATTATCTCTGATAGAGACCCCCGCTTCACTGGGGAATTTTAGAAGTCTATCTTCAAGGTGCTTGGCACTCGGTTGGACATGTCCACAGCGGATCATCCGCAGACCGACGGTCCAACCGAGCGTGTTAACCGCGTCATCAATGACATTTTGCGCAGTGTTTGTGCTGATACGGCTAGGCGTTGGAGCTCAATGCTCCCTGTTGTCAAGTTTGCGTTGGATAACGCTGTTCATGCCTCCACAGACTTTACTCCGTTCTATATAAACGGTCTCACCCACCCTCGCGTTCCGTTAACGCTATCACTACGTGAATCAGGGCTTGGGGGAGAGGTTGCCGATTGGCCTGCTGATATCAGCTCTGCTACTGTTCAAAAACAGGTAGGCGAGGTTCTCGCAGCGCGATTAAATGTCTTAAGACATGTGCGTGACGCAATAACTGATAGCCAAGATAACCAAAAACAACAAGCTGATGCCAAAGGCAGAAATTGTATTGAACGTTATGAGGTCGGAGACCAAGTATTACTCAATGCTAAAAATCTACCTGCAAATGTAGTGTCTGCTGTCTTTAAGACAAAGTTGCGTCCACGCTTTATTGGACCGTTTACGGTCACTGCCAAGAAGGGACTTGCGTACACGCTAAACATTCCGCGCCAGTTGCGCACACATCCAGTGTTCTACGTAGAATTATTTAAGCCGTACCGGGATCCTTCCCATGTGAACATGGAGGCGCTTGCGCCGACGATCAGGGCATTGCCCCGGATTGCTGTAGACGAATCAGCAAGTCCAAATGAGCCTCGCTCCGAGCTTGAGCTTGCTCCATCGCTTGAAGGCGGCTTTGCATCGCATCCAGCATGCTCTGGGTCTTACTTAAGGTCTCGTGAAGACCCTTCACTTCGAGGACCAATTTATCGTGTACCTCCACCGATACACCGGCCGCGGCCGACTTTGCTCGATGAGCATGGGTGTCGACAATTTCATGTCGAGAGACTACTGAAACAACGTCGTCGTCAGGACCAGTATCTGGTAAAGTGGCGAGGGTACCCTGAGTCTAAGAACTCATGGCAGTTTGAGATACCTCTTCGGTAAGACTGTCCTTATGCTTTGAATGCTTTTGAGCATCGTGGTCATGGTCATCTCGAGACCGAGGCCGTTTCCCACCACTAGTGGTGCGGGTTGGCGGGTTGTTGGCCACAGACTGATCAGAACTCGCGGCTACCTTAGTAGCCGAAGCATAGCGCGTGCGATTGCGCAATTGGCCTATAACCTTAAACTTGGTATAATCATACCGAAGCTTGCCTTCGAGACGCACATCAGCCACATTGACACTGGCCCTTAGAGAAAACATGTTGCTGAGGCGACGTACATGGTGCACCCAGCGAACGAAGGCATCGTCTTCTTCGCTCACTGTTTCGCCTGCGAGCAAGAGACTGGGTAAACGCTTGATCGGTGGAACCGGTGCACCCCGTGCTTGCATGTCAAGGCGTGCCTTGTATCGACTTTGAGTCATAGGAGTGGCTCCCGGTACCTCTCACGAAGTGTCTGGCAGCTCACCACCTCCTCAGGAGTCTAAGGCCCATGGCCAATGACCCACGTTGCCAATGTTTGGCCGGCCGCTTGACGTAGACGTTCCTCCACACTGGGTGGAGTGAACACATAGTCACGCTGGCGTTAAAGGGTTGCAACCATTTGTACATGACGCTGAGCATTTTCTCTTAGTTAGACAAGCAATTGTTGATACTCATCGAGTGGTTTCGTGATGATTGTATCACGAGAAACAGATGCTTAATGCTGCGATAGTGGGGCGCTCGCATCTCCACGTTCAGCGAACGGATTTGGGGTGTTCGAAGGTTATGCCATAGGCATCAGTGAGTCGGACATTGTCCCTGTATCGCCGTGGATACTGTTTTTGCTACCATAGTCCACTGCATCCTCTTTTCCGAGGTAGTCACACAGATTCTTCGAGGCGTTTGGTGATGAGGACATCGTGATAAGCGTACGTTGCCGTGAGGTTTACCGTACGCGCACTGTTCTCGCTTATAAACACTAGTTCGCCTGACGTTTTAATAAGCGTCAGTCTAATGGGGGAGGGTGTAACGGGGTTGCACGCAATTATGGTACTTTGTACCAGGTGTGTCACACACCTGAGGGTACCCCGTTGTGAAGGTGATATAGAACACCTTATTGGATTGTAGGGGCTGACGAGTGTCAACCACTAGGTACGAAAGATCTTTGAGAAGGATTAAGACATTCTATAAGCTTTAACATTAAATAAAATCAGTTCCCATTTTGATCTAAAGGACACGTGGCTTGCGAGCCGTCTTGATCGTTGATCACTGATTACTAAGAGTTAGCGACACCTCCTTGAGGTAGCTACTCTTGAGCACTGAGTGCTGTCGATTCACTGAATCGTTAGGTTACCTGGAACAGGGACCTGAAGCTTTAAAGCTTGTTGACTCGTGGAGTCGTTAATTCTTTAGAACTAAGTTTCTCGTAGAGCGTTAAGTCTTCCTCTGACTTAAAGAGCTGTGTAGCTCCTCTACATCGTTCCTTAGCCAAGAAACGCCCAAAACAAAATGGATACACGAACATACCGGAACTGATTACTTATGTCAAAGATCGAGCTCTATAGCTTGGTCCCCTATCGTACAACTTACTAAAGTACTCTTGGTTCCCTATCTTACAACTTATTAAAGTAATCTTGGTAGGCCCTATCTTACAACTTATATAAGTAATATTAGCTCGACAAACTGTTAGATTGGTAGCACATGAGGAAGATCGGATGATGAGATTTTGTTTTGCTTGTCCTCGCTTCCTACTTTCTCCCTGCCGCTAGATACCTATTCCCCTGAACTAGTCTATCTAAACGATTGGCTGCCAACCCATTATGTCGCTGACTTCTTGCAATGACAATCTGCAGCTGCCCATAACATCACAATTTGGCGCTAGTCCTATTCTCATGCCTCTCAAACTCGTATCGCTACCACCCCTCGAAAGACAACATTTCCTACACGAACGTTTTGCTGGACGACACGTCAGTTAGTCATCAGTAGATATCGTACTTTGCATTGTCCTATCAGTTAATGTAGTATACTCAGTAGGGTACGGTATTTTCAATAGGCTACCTCGCAGGCTCACCCTTCACACGGTACTTCCCTCAGCATATTGAACCAAGCTCGCATCTCATGCATTTACATCAGCCGTCTAACTGTCGTATGTCCCCATTAAAAACTTCAACAGACAGTCTGCATATGAAGAAGACACGACCCATGTATATGTAAGACTATCTACAGATCGGATGCATGTTGCAAAAGCACAGTTGAAAGGGATTTGGCAGAGGCAGCACGTTGATATCAATCCGCATCGATGTTAGGGGATACGTACGCATCCGCACAGACATTCGAGTCAAGCCAAAACATTCACATTGATCACAGCTACGTGCTACTAATTGTTACTCTGACCGTTTCTTCATTTGTTGAACTGAGCGCGGCACGTTGTTAGTACTTGCGCAAGCCTCAGTAGACGTCGAGCTTTGGTTTCTTTACAGCCAAAGCGAAGATGCAACTGCACATGTCATTAGTGATGATAGAAAATGAAATGGGACAAGCACGTGGCATAGGCCAAAAAGCACGGGCAAAAAAGAGCCTCAACGTACGTGTCCGCCACAGCATCCTCGGGATCTCGTGACAGTGGTTTCACTACTTTGAAATTACGGGATGCTAGTATGCATCATATCCAGATCACGGCCAAGTCGCCCGCATATGTGCATTTCTTCTCTGACCGACAGCCATTTTAATTTTTTGAGTATAGCCGTATTTCGCAAGGTCTTCGTCACGTCGTTTGCTGTCACGACAAACCGTTTCGGGTTGTAGCCATAGCACAGCCATCGACGCAGAAAGGAGGTAGCTGGATGGCTTCATGTACGAAGCCCACTTGTGGCCGCCGCTTGTATCACCAGGCGCCTGTATGGCCAGAATTTGGAGTCGCTAGCCCCTGCAAAAGGTTGAGCGAGTACGAAAAAATGCTTATGGCCACATAGGCTACCTTTCCATGTGATATCGATGCAGATATCGACTGATTCATGGACATCGGGTACAGCTCGAAGTGACCTACCTACCCACTGGCGTTCTAGCCGATAAGCCACGGACAGGATAATCATCGAGGGTCGAGACTGACGATAGCTCAGCGACACACAGCGATAGACTTTACAACAGTGGGCCATAGTATCCGATGTGACCGCCCGTGATAAAACACGATCATAACGGGTTAGGCCATTGCATGAAATTGACACCAAACGGTGTCAATTGGAATTTTGTCTAGTATGACAATATCCTACCCCAATATTATCCGCGGTGAATAACATTGATGAAATTTTATTCCCTTTCAGATAATATTCATGCGCTGCTCCAAGATTGTTTGATATAAGACATGTTAACAATAGATTGCCACTAATTGCTGCTAGACGCGCGCAATGAGTGGTGAGCAGGTTGTCGTCGTACGACGACGAAGTGTAACATAGTAAGATAACGATTGAAGTTGTATTGATAGCTTTACTACACTCAATACAGTTCTTTGTTTACCCTTCAATCAACTTAATCATTGAGTAGACTAGCTTCCTCTGCACGTACTAGTGTACGTGAAGTTTTGCGGCTCTCCATAAAAAGGGTGCCCTGTAACAAACAGCATCTGTCAGCACTTCGTAGTCCGTACAACTACTACTTACTGTCCGTCCAACATGAACCTGATGGACGTCAAATACGACAGCCTTCACGTCGCACGTGAAGGCTACTCCCTTCTGAATGACTCAGATTAAGAGGTATTCGCCCGCATGTGTGACGGGGTGAACCGTTACATAACAATTTTTTGGACATTGTTTATAGAATATAACTATAAGATTTATATTTTCAGAATATTGTCATAAGGACAAATATTCTGCAGCACTTACGAGTAGATCCTAATTGGTTGATATAGGCCATTATATCAACCAACAAAGACGCGCCACGACAGACGCACGCAATGAGTGGTGAGCAGATAACTGATTTACACATTTGTATTCAGACATAGTTAGATGAGGATAAATAGTGATTTACTAACTGACATTAACTATGATAAATACAGTTCAACTTTTTACTCTAACCAAGTACTCGCTTCTTCTTACCCTCTTCCTCTGTAAGTACCAGTGTACGTGAAGTTACGAGGCACCGCCTTATTCTGTCATCAGAATAAGTAGCTTGTACTGTCACCAGTACAAGCTTCAGGGTGCCCTGTTACACCTGGTAGCACTTCGTAGTCCGTCCAAGGACCACGTTCACATCTAACATGAATTTGTTGGATGATGAAGATGACCAAAGCTTTCACGCTACGCGTGACGGCTACTCCCATTTGAACGATGTCGAATGGGATGCGGTTGAACGAATGGGTTCAACCATGGGCATCCATGCTGTTAGCGTCATGCTAGAGGCTCTCAATAGAGATGCCCAACATGCTACTATCGCCAAGTTCATTCGAAATGAACTTGACGCTGAACGCGAGAAAGTAGCCTTTCTTCACCAACAAGGTTCTCAACAAGCATAATTGTTGAGAGAACAGGGTGTTCAACAGTTTGAACTGTTGAGACAGCAGCAGACTGCTGCTGGTGGGTCGATGCACTCGCGTCGACCCGAAACCTTGAAGATAGACATCTCCGAGTATAGGGGAGTCGAAGAGGACTCCCTCCTGAGATGGTTCGTCGAATTAGACGACGCCATAAGGGCGCGTCGCATCGACGATGGGGAAATGCAAGTTGCATTTGCCCAATCAAATCTGACAGGACGTGCCAAGACTTGGGCTTTGGGGCTCAAGTTGCACGACCCATATGCGTTTGGGTCGCTAGAAGTCTTCAAGTCGAGGCTCAGACAAACGTTTGAACCGCCTAGAGCTGAGTTCAGAGCTCGAACTGAACTCTTGAAGCTTAGACAAGGTAAGCGTGAGGTGCACCCTTACGCGCAACATGTACGACATCTCACGAGTTGTATAAGTTCCAACCCGGTGGATGAACACACGTTGGTTTCGGTGTTCATGCAGGGTCTTGCGGATGGTCCCGTCAAGTCTCGCCTGTTCCGGCTTGAACTAGATTCACTATAACAAGCCATTTCCATTGCGGAACAGGAAGACTTCAGTCTGAGACAGGCTCGCGCCAGCTCGACATCATATCTTTCACCGAGACGATATGACAACGGAGGTCCAGAGCCGATGGAACTCTGTTATGTAGAGAGCGAGAAGGCTCGCTCTACAGACTACAAGAAGTTGCAGAAATGCAACAGATGTCAAAAGACAGGACACTACGCTTACGAGTGTAGTGCCCCTCGTCCAGTGTCTCGCGACACTGGGCGTAGTGACCGTCCACCCATGAGAAAGGGGCAGGGACGAGGGTCCGCTGCTGGTGCAAAGACGCAACAACGGGATGGACCGTCAAAAAATGGACAGGATCAGTAGGTGCGGAGCACCCTACTGGTCCAGCAACGTCAAGAGAATTTGTAGGCCTCTTGATGAAGGTTGCTCCCGACACACAAACGTTGTGCGTTGCTGCTCTAGGTAATGAGAGATATCTCATTACCTTGAAACTCGAAGTGACAAATAAGTTGTCCCTTCGAGCTCTAGTCGATTGTGGGGCGTCCAACAATTTTGTGCGACGCCAATCGCTAGAAGATGGTCACTTCAAGTTTGGTGAGTGTGACATACCTCCTACGAGGATGACGGTACGTCTTGCGACAGGCGCATCCGTAACCGTCATGAAGCGTATAGTGAAGATCCACTATACGCTAGAAGATACCCAATATGACGATGACTTTATCGTATTGGATTTGGAAGACAAATTTGATGTCATCCTTGGAATATCGTGGCTCAGAAGGTACGAACCACGGGTTAACTGGCAACATCGAACAGTAATGATGCCTGCCGCTTGTTCATCTGATGGCCATCTGATGAACGTTTTGGAGCGTCCACAAGCGTGTGGATGCACAACGAGTGAGTGCGATGGCCTCACTTGTGGTACGGTCGTTAGTACGACTGCACGAAATCTTAGTGTACCAAACGGTTACACTTCGGAGCAAAGTTCCGGCGGCTGTGAGGAAACACAGGCTGCGCCGAAGATCCACTACTCGAATAAGTCGAGTGGACCGGGACAAAGATGTATCCCTAGCGGGGAACATCTAGAAGAGAAACAATCGATCGCTCAGGTTAAGCGAAACGATAATCCTAGATCGACTGAAGAGTCTTTCGTAGAGGATCTCGCTGTGGTTGCGCAACCCCAGCTAGAGGAAGTAAGGTAATAAGTCCCGATATTACAAATACGGCGGAAATAAGTTCCCCGAAACCCGCGGGAATAAGGCCCCGGGAAGACGAAGGAATAAGTCCTTCGAAGCCTGAGGGAATAAGTCCCCAGGAAATGACAGAGACATTGAATGTCATAGTCAATAACGGATCATGTGTAGGCGCTTATACACTTGATCTGATTGCGCCTCCGAAGTTGACTTCGGAGATCACTCAGTTGCCAACGCTCGAACGTAAAAGGTTCTTGCGTGATCTGCGTAGTGGCAAAGTCAAGCAGATCTGCATACTCGTCGCTGAAGACGAGTATGTAGCCGACATAAGGTCAGCAACAGTGTTTACTGAGAACGAGAGAGTTCTCAGTAGTTCATCGATGGACGATAGCGTCCTCGATGAAAAGACACGAGTTGAGCGATATGACTCCCAATCGTGGGAATCGCTCAAGACAAATCCTCTTTATGTAGATTTGGTTGAATTTAAGGATGTATTCCCTGAAACTGTTCCGTGCGAATTACCGAAGGATAAAGGTACTCGACACGAGGTCGAGCTTAAACCAGGCTCGAAGTACTGTGTCATGAAGCAGTGGCCACTGCCTCATGAACAAGTACTTGCGATCGACAAGTTCTTTGCCGATCGTTTAGCTGCGGGCCATGTGAGGGAATCAACTTCCCCACATAGCTCTCCGACCTTCTGTGTGTGAAAAGCAACAGGAGGCTGGCGGATAGTGCATGCATTTAACAAATTGAACGCTGCAACGGTACCGGCTCAGACGCCAATACCGAGGAAGGACGTAATCATTGATGGTATGTCAAAGAGTACCATCTTTTCGTCCATGGGTTTGATGGATGGCTTCTATCAAATCCTAATGCGAGATCGGGACGTACCCTATACCGCAGTTAGCACGCCTAGCGGCATGCTCTGGGAATGGCTAGTAATGCCACAAGGGCTTAGTAATGCCCCTGCCACGTTCAACAGGTGTGTATCACATCTGTTGAGACCAGTGCGAGAATTCGCACCGATTTATTTCGATGACGTATTCATCCATAGTCGGGCTATGGATGGAAAGTCGGACGTTGAGGCTCACAGATACCACGTCCGACAGGTTCTTACAATCATGCAAAAGCATCAATTGTATGCTAACCTCAAGAAGTGTATATTTGCAGCAAGCGAAACACCACTTCTTGGGTGCATCGTTGGTAAGAACGGTGTACGTCCTGATCCCAAAAAGATCAAGGCGACCACCGACTGGCCTGTGCCGGTTAACGTCAAAGGTCTTCGAAAATTCCTTGGGCTAGCGGCGTATTTGCATAAGTATTCACGCAATTCACGCCGAGATGACTGTGCACCTCTCTCGTTTGTTGAAAAAGAACGAGCGGTGGTTATGGAACGCCGAATGTCAGCGCTCCTTTGATGGTATCAAGCAGAGCTTGATACAATCCCCAGTCCTAGCAATTGCCGATCAGGACAGACGATTTCACGTGGTCTGTGATGCCAGCGATTTTGCAATCGGCTGTGCATTAATGCAGTACGACCTAGAAGGCGTTGAACGCGTCGTCTGCTATCAGTCGCGTCAGCTGCAACCAGCTGAGCGGAACTGTCCAGTGCATGACAAGGAACTCCTTGCCATGAAGTATGCACTCGCGAAGTTCAGAGTCTATCTCTTAGGAGATAGACCCTTCATTGTTTACACTGACCATACGTCATTACGCACGGCAGTGAACAGCCCGCACCTTTCACAACGAATGGCGCGGTGGTTGTCATTCTTTGCAGAATACAACTTTACGGTCGAGTACAAACCAGGACGACTTAATGTCGTCGCTGATGCACTCTCACGTCGTCCCGACTTTGAAACAGTCGTGAAACCCAACAGTGAGACAGTCACTGTTGCGGTTATAATGTCCACAATACCATCTACAACGTTGTATGATGATGTGAGGCGGGCATACGCCCAAGATGGTAAGATTGTGAAGTTGTTGACACATATCTCACAACCATCTCCAGAATCGTTGAAACGATTGTCGCCTGCGTATCGATCTGCATCAGATCGATACACTACTCGCAACGGTTTACCGTATTATACAGCCGTTTCTGGTGACACACCACGTGTTGTCATTCCAGATGATACTGATCTGCGTTTGCGGATCATGTTCGAGTATCACGATGCTCCTATAGGAGGACATCGTGGCCGAGAGAAAACATATCTCACGGTAAGTCGAGACTTTTACTGGCCCCGCCAGTATCAGTTTGTGCGAAAGTATGTTCGCGCATGCGAAGTCTGCCAACGAGTGAAGTCAAGTCCTTCACTGCGTGCACCTTTACAGCCTCTACCGGTTCCGGCTGAGTGCTGGGAATCCATCTCAATGGATTTCGTCTTCGGGTTACCCAAAGACGCACGCGGGAATACGGGTATTCTCGTATTTGTTGACAGATTCATCAAAATGGTACACCTTGTGGCTGTACCAGAGACAATCACGGCAAGTGGCTGTGCTTGTGTCTTTATTGACACCATCTTCCGACTTCATGGGTTGCCCCGTGAACTCGTGTCAGACAGAGATCCACGATTCACTGCTGATTTCTGGCGTTCCGTGTTCAAATCACTCGGAACGCGCTTGAAGATGTCAACATCTGATCATCCAGAGTCAGATGGTCAGACGGAACGTGCCAATCGTGTCCTCGAAGAGATACTTCGAGGATACGTACACTCCTTTAAGAGTTGGAGCGAGTTCTTGCCAATGGTAGAGTTTGCCATTAATAACTCGGTGCATGCGTCCACGACACATACACCGTTTTACGTGAATGACTTGCGCCATCTGCGTGTACCCACCTTACTAGAGTGTATCTCTGGTTTAAGGGGGGGAGGGACTCGCGCGAGCAAAAACCGATTTGGTTCACGCTCATCACGCTCTGACGAAGAAGTCATTGCGTTTGATGCCGATATCGATAACATCGATATCGAAGAAGATGATGCCATTGAGATTGCGGAAGCCCTCACTGAAGAAAAGGTTGATGTTGCTGCAGTGCACTCACAGCGCACTGAAGCTAACGAGTCACCAGATGAGTTCATACTGGCTCGTGAAACGGTAGTCCGTTTTGTGCAAGACTCCATCGCCGAAGCGGTGGATAAGCAAAAATAAAACACTGACAAGAATGGAAGGGCAAACACTCTTTTATTTAATAAAGGTGACTTAGTCCTACTGTCTACGGTTAATCTACCGAAGCATGTAGTGACTAACTTGGGTAGCAGTTTACTGCTACCCAAGTACATCGGCCCATTTCGTGTATTGCACCGCCTAGGCAACGCATACACGATCGAACTGCCACGTAAGATGCGAACGCATCCCACGTTTTATGTTGGTCGGCTTAAGCCGTACCATCAGTACGCTGCTTCTTCCGATGAAGAACGCCCTTGCGTTCAAGCATCTCGCAGATAGCCTTGTGCTCCCGACGGTGGGCATCAACAAGGGTCTGAAGTACAGCTATCTTATCCCGAGACCGGTCAACAATCCCACGAGCTACCCTTAGCTCGTCACGCTAAGATGTCAAAGCTCTCTCGTTCTCAAGCTGAGCAAAGGCAAACTCAGCTCGATGCTTCAAGACAGTGTGCGCCATTCGTAGACGCCTGTACCGCTCATGTTCGACATCACCGCGTAACCTTTGCGTTACGCGATCAAAGAGGCTTTCGGAGACACACGCTTCCCCACGATAGTTTGGAGAGCGTTTTCCCTCCTCCTCAACCTCCATTAGAGGACTCTCGCGGTGGCCAGCGCTATATGGTTGAGCAGCTGTTGAACCACCGCGACGTGAACGGACGTTGGACGAGTTATCTCGTCCGGTGGCGCGGGTATCCCCCGTCCTGGGATTCTTGGGAGCCCCGATCCCAACTGATGATTGACGTACTGGGTCTGGTCGAGCAGTACGACGCTGCACATTCTGTGCCGCAGAAGGACCGCTGGAGAAAGTCTTCCCGGCACGGTCGTAAAGGGATTTCAGGTTGTCGATCCCTTCGTACATCTCACTGGACATACGTACGCGCCACCACGGGCTAGTGAGGAGGTAGGCCTCCTTAGGTGCGCGCGCAGAGTTGTTCACACAACAAGGGCACGGGTCTCTCCAGGAGAGACAGGGTAATCCTTTCTCCCTAGAAAGACGATACAGCTTGTAGCGTGCACCTGTCGGGGTTCGCTTTTCATACTTATCACGAGCTTTGATAAGTTTGTCGTTCCAAGCGTCACGACCTACATCCTCGAGGTTATGGATGTAGGCGTTCCACGCTTGAAGTAGTAAGGGACCATCACGCTTGTGGTTCCCACTGTACCATCTATGCTTAAAGAAAGCATCGATGAAGAAATCATTCTCAGCGCGATAGTTTTTTGCACTGGGGTTTAAATGATGGATCCTTGACGAATCGAACAATTGTGCTCGATAGCGATCCAAAGATGCTACGACGCATAGCATCATCCATGCCACGCTTGGCAGGTGGCTTGGTTTCGATCGCCGTCGATACGGATCCGTCATCCGTATCAGGAGAGCATGAGACACCGAGCTCATACTCTGTGAAGACACGAGTGTCTTCATGACGAGCGCCTGCATCATCAGTGATACAGGCTGAGACGCTTTCGCAACCGATGACACATCGTTTGCAGCGGATTCTGCTTCGGCGTCTGTACAGAGACGTGCAGACGCGCTCTCAGCGGCCTTGTTCGCGCACCGCATGGACTTGTTAGCCATGCGATGAGATGTTGGAAAGTGGACTCGGACCAACAAGTGCAAACCCTGTCCCAAATGACTTGGGACGAGTATCCATTTAGTCAATCAGTCACTATAGTGACTGATGGTTAAGGGGGGGTGATGTAACGGAGCGAACCGTTACATAACAATTTAAAGAAATTGTTAATAGAATATAACTATAAGAGTTACATTCTCAGAATTTTGTCATAAGGACAAATATTCTGCAGCACTTACGAGTAGTTCCTAATTGGTTGATACAGGCCAGGATATCAACCAACGAAGACGCGCCACGACAAACGCACGCAATGAGTGGTAAGCAGATAGTTGACATACACATTTGTATGTAGACATGGTTAGATGAGGATAAATAGTGATTTACTAACTGACATTAACTATGATAAATACAGTTCTACTTTTTACTCTAACCAAGTACTCGCTTCTTCTTACCCTCTTCCTCTGTAAGTACCAGTGTAAGTGAAGTTCCGAGGCACCGCCTTATTCTGTCGTCAGAATAAGTAGCTTGTACTGTCACCAGTACAAGCTTCAGGGTGCCCCGTTACAGCATGAGTGTGCTCATGGGCGACCAGCAACATGCTGCTATCAATAAGTACCCACAAGGGGAAACTTGCCATGAAAAGACAGAAGGTAGCCTCGCTACAACAGCAAGGATCTCATCAGTCGATGGGCGGGTCGATGCACACGCTTCAACCCGAACTCTTGAAGATAGGTATCTCAAGGTACAAGAAAACCGATGAATATTCCTTATTGAGATGGTTCGTCGAGTTAGACGATGCCATCAAGTACCGTCACATCGAGGGTGACGAGATGCAAGTCCCCTTCGCCACGTCAAATTTGACAGGTCGAGCAAAGACTTTGAACTTATAACTCAAGCTTCACTAACCAAACGTGTTTGAGTCGTTGGGAATCTAGAACGCTCGGCTCAAGTAGACGTTTGAGCCGCCACGGGCCGAGTCCAGAGCACGCTCTGCACTCTTGAGGCTAAAGCAAGGTAAGCGTGGTGTGCACGCTTGCGCAAAACACCTACGCTACTATGCGAGGAGCGTCACGGAATACCCTGTTGATGAGCACACGCTCACCAGCGTGTTCATCTACGGCCTTGCAGATGAGCCGGTTAAGAGCTACATGTTCCGACAGGACTTCCACACGCTGGAAAAGGTGATAGCGTATGCGAAATCAAAAAGACTTTATCCTAAGACAGTATCAGGCTAGCCCATAAAACTATCGCTCGACCAAGAGACAGGAAACAGGAGGTCCCGAACCAATAGAACTCTGTCACATCGAGAGCGAGAACTCTCGCTCTCTGAGTCACAAGCGAACGGCAAGATGCTATCGTTGTCAAAAGATTGGACACTACGTTCATGAGTGTAGTGTCTCAAGCACCGCAACACGTTTAAGACAGGACGAGATGACCACCGTTGGCCAAGAAAAGGTCCAAGGCGTGGGTCCGACCATGTTGCTAAGCCGCGAAAGCAAGTCCGACCGTCAAAAAGCGGACAAAGTCAGTAGGGAGGAACGCGCTGCTGATCCAGCAACATCAATATAATTTGCAGGCCTCTTGACGAATACTGCTCCCAACGCACATTCACTGTGTGTTACTGCCCCTACTGATGAGGAATCCTTCATCACTTTGAAGATCAAAGTGACAAGTGGAATGTCACTTCGCACCTAAGTTGAATGTGGGGCGTCGAACAGTTTTATTCTACGCCAATCGCTAGAAGATGGTAGGCTCAACTTGGTTAAGCGATCCTTCCCTCCAACGAGGATGACGGTGTGCGTTGCTACAGGCGCATCTGTTACAATGAACAAACTTGTAGTGGGAATCCACTACACGCTAAAAGGTAAGCAGTACGATGATGACTTTATCGTACATGATTTGGATGAAAAATTTGATGTCATCCTCGGTCTGCCATGGCTTAGAAAATACCAGCCATGGATCAGCTGGCAACATCGATCCTGGAAGATGCCTGCCGTTTATTCATCAGATGGCAATCTGATGAACGTCTAGGAGCGTCCATAAGCGTGTGGATGTACTACGAGTGAGCACGATGGCCTCACTTGTCGTACGGTTGTTAGTACGACTGCACAAGATTATAGTGTAGAAGGCCACTACACTGTGGAACCAGCTTCCGGAACCTGTGTAGAGACACAGGCTGCGCCGAAGGTTCACCACTTTAAAAGATCGAGTGGACTGGAACATAGATGCACACCAAGCAGGGTGCATCCAAGAAGAGAGTTGAGTTTTGACTAGGATGATAAACGAGATCGACTATTAGAGAGTCGGTCGTCGAGCAAGCCCGATCGACTGAAAGAGAGTCGATAGAAGAGGACGTGACCGTGGAAGTACACCCACAGTCATACACGTTATGGAAGAAAGTTTGAGTGTTCCCGAGAGTGGTAACTCCCGAGAGTTATGTTGAGGGTGTTGACCCCCAACCACCTGCGGATGTGTTTTCTCATAAAATCACCGAGACAGTGAATGTCTTGGTGAATGACGGATTAAGTGTAGGCGCTCATACACTTGATCTGGTTACACCTCCGAAGTCAGCGTCGGAGGGAGTCAAGTTGCCAAAGCTAGAGTCTAAAACATTTTGCGAGATCTGCGTAGTGACAAGATCAAGCAGATCTGCGTACTCGTCACAGAGGACGAGTCGTCGCAGATATTCGGTCGACACAAATGTTTGCTGAGAACGAACGGGTTCTCAGTAGCGCATCGATGAACGAGAGCGTCTTCGATGAGAAGACCCGGATTGATCGATGCACGTCTTAATCTTGGGGGTCTTTAAAGACAAATCCTTTGTATAAGTATTTGGCTGACTTCAGGGATGCTATTCCTGTATCAGTGCCATGCGAGCTGGCTAAAGACAAATGCATTCGGCATGAGATCGAACTGAAACCCATTTCGAAATACTGGTTCATGAAGCAGTAGCCACTGCCTTGTGAACAGGTCACATCAATAAAAAAAATCTTTGCCGAGCGTTTAGCGGCTAGTCATGTGAGGGAATCAACATCCCCACACAGCTCTCCGACCTTCTGTGTGCGAAAGGCCACAGGAGGGTGGCGGATAGTGCGCGCGTTCAACAAATGAACGCTGCAACGGTATCGGTTCAGACGCCTATACCAAGGAAGGATGTCATCATAGATGGTATGACAAAAAGTACCATCTTTTCATCCATGGATTTGATGAATGGATTCTATCAGATCCTCATACGTGAACAAGACATCCCGCACACAGCAGTAAGCACCCACGGTGGTATGCTCTGGGAGCGGCTAGTGATGCAACAAGGGCTAAGTAACGCCCCTGCAACGCTCAACTAATGAGTTAAAAATCTGTTGCGATCAGTGCGATATTTTGCACCGAGTTACTTTGACAATTTCTTTGTCCATAGCCGGAATAGGGATGGAAAGATGGACGTGGAAATTCATAGAATCCACGCCCGGAAGGTTCTTAATCTAATGCGATAGCATAAATTGTTCGCGAACCTCAAGAAGTGCATATTCGCAGCGAACGAAATACCACTTCTTGGTTGCATCGTGGGTAAAATGGTGCACCGTCTGATCCAGAAAAGATAAAGGTGATTAGCGACTGGCCTGTGCCAGTCGACCATAAAGGACTTCGAAAGTTCCTTGGCTTGGCGGCGTTCTTGCACAAGTACTCGCGCAACTATGCCAAGATGACTGTACATCTCTCTCGTCTACTAAAGAAAAACGATAGGTGGTCATGGAGCTTTGAGTGTCAGCACTCATTTGAGGGCATCAATAAAAGCTTGATGCAATCACCTGTGTTGGGGATTGCAGATCGGGATAGAACAATTCATGTAGTCTGTCACGCCAGCGATTTTGCAATCGGCTGCGCGTTAATGCAGCGCGACTCAGACGGCGTTGAGCGCCTCATCTGTTATCAATCGCGTCAGCTGCAAGCAGCTGAGCGAAATTATCCGGTTCATGACAAGGAACGCCTTTCCATGAAATATGCACTGGCCAAGTTTCGGTTATATCTCTTAGGAGATATGCCCTTCATCGTTTATACCGACCATGCGTCATTACGCACGACAGTGAACAGTCCACACCTCTCGCAACGAATGGCGTAGTGGCTATCTTTCTTCGCGGAGTACAAATTCTCTGTCGACTATAAACTAGGACGACTTAATGTCGTCGCTGATGCTCTTTCGCGTCGGTCCAATTTCGAGCCGACTTCTCAACACCACAGTAGGGTGATCCCATTGTTGCGACACTATCAGTGAGTGTTCCGTTGTCGAATCTGCTCGACGACGTGCGGAAAGCATACACAGAAGATGAGTTTCTCCTGCGGTTAGTGGATTAAGCATCCAATCCGTGTTATCAAGCTTTGATAATCTTGTCGTCTCAATACCGTTCTTCAACCGAACGGTATTCTGTCCGTGATGGACTGCTGTACTGAACAGCAATCAGCGGCGACACATCTCGCGTCGTCGTTCCGGCTCATGATAATTTGCGACTGCACATAATGTCAGAGTGTCACGATGCCCCACCAAGTGGGCATCGCGGTAGGGAAAAGACTTACCTCACGGTGAGTCGTGACTTCTACTGGCCCCACCGTTATGAGTTTGTGCGCAAATACATCCGCGCTTGCAAAGTTTGTCAACGTGTAAAGCCTAGTACTTTATCCCCTGTACCCTTAAAGCCTCTACCGATTCCGGCAAAGTGCTTGCATTCCGTATCGATGGACTTCTTCTTTGGGAAACCCAAGAAGTTCACAATAATACTGCTATTCTTGTGTTTGATGATGGGTTCAGAGAGATGGTACATCTTGTTGCTGTACTGAAGTCAATCACAGCCCAGGCCGTGCTCGTGTCTTAATCGATACTATCTTTGACATCACGGGTTACTCCGTGAGCTCGTGTCTAGCAGGGACCCCCACTTCACAGCGGAGTTCTGGCACTCCTTGTTCCGTTCACTTGGTTCACGTTTGAAAATGTCAACTTCTGACCATTCTGAAACAGATGGTCGGATCGATCGCGTCGACCGCGTCCTCGAAGAGATTCTTCGAGGGTGTATCCACTCGTTTACGACTTGAAGTGAGTTATTGCCGATGGCGGAATTTGCCATCAAAACTCGGTGCATGCGTCGACAAAGCATGCACTGTTCTTCGTGAATGGCCTAAGCCATCCACCTTTCCCGCCTTCTTAAGGTGTGACTCTATTTTAAGGGGAAGGGTCGATTCGCTCGAACAAAAACCGATCTGGTTCTTGCTCATCACCCTTCGACAATGGTTTCGACGTGATGGATGCCGACGTCGATGCAATCGACATCGATGATGATGACGACGACGATGCTGGTATATTCAACATCGCCAATGACCGCCAAAGCAAGGACATTGATGCACTCACTGGTAAAGACAACTTTCTATCAGCAGTGCATGCGAAACGCACTGCTGTTGACAAGGCTAAATCAGCAGAGGAATTTCTGCTGACTTGCGAAGCGGTTGTCCGTTTCGTTCAAGACTCGATTGCAGATGCACTAGGCAGACATAAAAGAAAAGCAGACAAACATGAAAGAGCAATTGTTTTTCCATTTTAACGAAGGAGACTTAGTTCTACTGTCTACATTTATCTACAGAAACACGCAGTGACAAACGTGGGCGGCAGTATATAACTGAACAAGTACATTGGTCCATTTCGGGTGTTGCGCCGAATGGGCAACGCATACACGATTGAACTGCCTTGTAGCATGCGTATGCATTCTACATTTACGTTGGTCGTCTGCTCCCGTACTATCTGTACAAGCCCGTTTTGAGAGGCGAAAAACACCTCCGCGGTTCAAGGGCTAAGACCACCTTCGAGTGGTCCCGTTTCAACGATCCAGTCTGGTCGACTAGCGAAGCAACCTGCTCACTAAGTTGAGTGATGTCCGACGAGCAGCAGCCAGCTCATCACTAAGAAACCATGTCGAACGTTCGTTCTCAAGTTGCGCGAACGCAAAAGCGGCACGATCGTCCGAACGATCGTGCGTCAGGGAATTATAATCAATTCTCACAAGATCCTTAAGATCATAACGCCGAGATCATTTATGAGCTAGGTCATCTCGCAACTATTCCGTTAGACGGTTGAGCTCTTGAACATCAAGCTGATCCGGTCCTCGAGCCGGATCAGGTGTTCCCACCGCCACCACATCCTTTCGTGGACTCAAGCGGTGGTCAACACTTCCTAGTGAAGCGTAGTTTGAACCACCGCGATGCGAATGGCGTCCGGACGAGTTACCTCGTCCGCTGGCGTGTCTACCCACCGGCGTGGCACAGCTGGGAGCCTCGTGCCCAGATGATGTTGATGTCATTGGTCTCGTTGAGCAGTACGACAAGACCCACCCGCTGCGTTTGAAGAAGGACCGTCGAAAAACGACCTCCCTGAACGCGATTACAGGGATTACAAAGTGTCGATCTCTTCGGCCATCTCGGAAGAGATGCACGCCCTCCAGTAGGGATCATTAGGGAGGTAGGCCTTCCTAGGGGCACGGTTCGAATTGTCCAGGCAACCTGGACGCGAATCACCCCACGAGAGACAGGGTAATCCAGCCTCTCTTGAAAGCCGGGGCAACTTGTATCGCGCCCCGACTGGGTTGCGTTTCTCAAACCTGATGCGAGCTGCATCAAGTTTGGTGAGCCAGGCCTCACGTCCAACATATTGATGTTTTGAACGAATGCATTCCATCCCTGCACCAAGGCACTGCCGTCTCGAACACGGCTACCATTGTACCACCGATGTTTATAAAAAAACATCGCTGTAGAAATCTTCCTGAGCACGGATAGTTTCCGAGCTGGAATCAGGTGGGCAAATCTTCCTGCAATCGAACAACGAGATTTGATCCCGTTCGGAAGTCATGCCGGTTAACCGGTCAAACTCTCTGGAAGACGGCATCCCCGGAGACTCCACTTGAGGAGCATGGCGCACGACATTTCGGTGCCTTGCCTCTTGATTGGTGTCAGCATGAGCACTGACACCAGTGACAGCTCGATCCCCCGAGTTACTTCGCTCGTGGTGATGTATAGGTGCATCACCACCATTCCACGCGTCCTATCGTCGGATAGACTTGCGCGAGGCGAGGATTCGTCGGAGTAATCGCTCGATCCTATGATCTTGGTCATGATGCTGCTATGTTGACCAGAGCCAGTCAACCTGGCTCTTGTAGTGTCCGCCCCGGGTGATCCGGAGGCGTGAAGTGTTGCCTATGAGTCGGATACATCATCCAAATCGCCAGAATAGATGAGCTCTATCTCAGACTCGTCTGGATTACGATTCGAGGTACCCGCTGCAGACGCAACAGATGTACCTGTCGCACGTGGTGACTCACCATGTGGAGGATTCACGACAACAGGCGACGAATCGCCTGCTGCTGAGGCTTGAGAGGCTCTTTCCGCGGCCGCACGCATGCGTGCAGCCGCTCTTCTTGCTGCTGCAGTAGCGACTGGTTTGTTTTTCGAAGCTATGCGTTGAAATGGCAAATGATAGGGATTTGACCAACAAGTGCTCCCTTTCCCAAAGTGATGCAACGGTGGTCACCCTGTCCCAATCAATTCTAATTCAATCAACGGGTGGTTGATGGTTAAGGGGGGGGTGATGTAACGGGGTAGCCCGTAACATGAAATTGACACCAAACGGTGTCAATTGGAATATTGTCTAGTATGACAATATCCTACCCCAATATTATTCGGGGTGAATAACACTGATGAAATTTTATTCCCTTTCAGATAATATTCATGCGCTGCTCCAAGATTGTTTGATATAAGACATGTTAACCATAGATTACTACCAATCGCTGCTAGACGCGCGCAATGAGTGGTGAGCAGGTTGTCGTCGTACGACGACGAAGTGTAACATAGTAAGATAACGATTAAGTTATAGTGAGAGCTTAACTACATTAAATACAGTTCTCTGTTTACCCTTTAAACTGCTTAATATTTGAGTAGACTAGCTTCCTCTGCACGTACTAGTGTACGTGAAATTTCGTGGCACCCTAACAAAGGGTGCCCCGTTAGACGATCCGTTTAGCATACATTACTATTGACATCTAGTCGCGCCGCTGCAAAAACGCGTGCTTCTGTGGGACACCTGAGAAGCAACTTGGCAGTCTTCACACAAGCAGCAGGCAACTGGTAGAACTTCATGCTGAAGGTAACTGAAATCAATCCGTCGACAGCGTAGTGTCGGATGATGCCCAATCCATCATACGCCTGCCTCAGGTCTAGTTTACGGGCAAGCTCCTGAATACGCACTAAGATTTACACACGCTCAAGCGAGCAATAGGAGACTGCCAAGCAGCTCAAATACCAACACGGTGACTTAGTTAGTCCTGCATGAACTGCTTGACCCGAGCGAGCTTTCGATCGCGTGCATCTGCGCGCCGTCGTAGGCGCCGTGTGGGCGTCAAATCGTTCGTCGGCTCATTGAGAAACAACATGATAGCTGTAACGGGGTGAATCGTTACATAACAATTTATAAGAAATTGTTAATAGAATATAACTATAAGAGTTATATTCTCAGAATATTGTCATAAGGACAATATTCTGTAGCACTTCCAAGTAGTTCCTAATTGGTTGATATAGGCCATTATATCAACCAACGAAGACGCGCCACGACAGACGCACGCAATGAGTGGTGAGCAGATAACTGATTTACACATTTGTATTTAGACATAGTTAGATGAAGATAAATAGTGATTTATTGCAGACATTAACTATTATAAATACAGTTCTACTTTTTACTCTAACCGAGTACTCGCTTCTTCTTACCGTCTTCCTCTGCACGTACGAGTGTACGTGAAGTTACGAGGCACCGCCTTATTCTGTTATCAGAATAAGTAGCTTGTACTGTCACCAGTACAAGCTTCAGGGTGCCCCGTTACACCTGGTAGCACTTTGTAGTCCGTCCAAGGACCGCGTTCACATCCAACATGAATATGTTGGATGATGAAGATGACCAAAGCTTTCACGCTACGCGTGACGGCTACTCCCATTTGAGCGATGTCGAATGGGATGCGGTTGAACGAATGGGTTCGACCATGGGCATCCATGCTGTTAGCGTCATGCTAGAGGCTCTCAATAGAGACGCCCAACATGCTACTATCGCCAAGTTCATCCAAAATGAACTTGACGCTGAACGCGAGAAAGTAGCCTTGCTTCACCAACAAGGTTCTCAACAAGCAGAGTTGTTGAGAGAACAAGGTGCTCAACAGTTTGAACTGTTGAGACAGCAGCAGGCTGCTGCTGGCGGGTCGATGCACTCGCGTCGGCCCGAGACTTTGAAGATTGACATCTCAAAGTATAGGGGGTCGAAGAAGACTCCCTCTTGAGATGGTTCGTCGAATTGGATGACGCCATAAGGGCGCGTCGCATCGACGACGGGGATATGCAAGTTGCATTTGCCCAATCAAATCTGGCAGGACGTGCCAAGACTTGGGCACTGGGGCTCAAGCTGCACGACCCATATGCGTTTGGGTCGTTGGAAGTCTTCAAGTCGCGGCTCAGACAAACGTTTGAACCGCCTAGAGCTGAGTTCAGGGCTCGAACCGAACTCTTGAAGCTCAAGCAGGGTAAGCGTGATGTGCACGCTTACGCTCAACATATACGACATCTTACGAGTTGTATAAGTTCCAATCCAGTGGATGAACACACGTTGGTTTCGGTGTTCATGCAGGGTCTTGCGGATGGTCCCGTCAAGACTCACCTGTTCCGGCTTGAACTAGATTCACTAGAACAAGCCATTTCAATTGCGGAGCAGGAAGACTTCAGTCTGAGACAGGCTCGCGCCAGCTCGACATCATATCGTCAACCGAGACGATATGACAACGGAGGTCCAGAGCCGATGGAACTCTGTTATGTAGAGAGCGAGAAGGCTCGCTCTACAGGCTACAAGAAGTTGCAGAGATGCAACAGATGTCAAAAGACAGGACACTACGCTTACGAGTGTAGTGCCCCTCGTCCAGTCTCTCGCGACACTGGGCGTAGTGACCGTCCACCCATGAGAAAGGGGCAGGGACGAGGGTCCGCAGTTGGTGCAAAGACGCAACAACGGGATGGACCGTCAAAAAACGGACAGGATCAGTAGGTGCGGAGCACCCTACTGATCCAGCAACGTCAAGAGAATTTGTAGGCCTCTTGATGAAGGTTGCTCCCAACACACAGACATTGTGCGTTGCTGCTCTAGGTAATGAGATCTCACTCATTACCTTGAAACTCGAAGTGACGAATAAGTTGTCCCTTCGAGCTCTAGTCGATTGTGGGGCGTCCAACAATTTTGTGCGACGCCAATCGCTAGAAGATGGTCACTTTAAATTCAGTGAATGTGACACACCTCCTACGAGGATGACGGTACGTCTTGCGACAGGCGCATCCGTAACCGTCATGAAGCGTATAGTGAAGATTCACTATACGCTAGAAGATACCCAATACGACGATGACTTTATCGTATTGGATTTGGATGACAAATTTGATGTCATCCTTGGAATACCGTGGCTCAGAAGGTACGAACCACGGGTAAACTGGCAACATCGGACAGTAACGATGCCTGCCGCTTGTTCATCAGATGGCCATCTGATGAACGTTTTGGAGCGTCCACAAGCGTGTGGATGTACTACGAGTGAGTGCGATGGCCTCACTTGTGGTACGGTCGTTAGTACGACTGCACAAAACCTTAGTGTACCAAACGGTTACACTTCGGAGCAAAGTTCCGGCGGCTGTGAGGAAACACAGGCTGCGCCGAAGGTCCACCACTCGAATAAGTCGGGTGGACTGGGACAAAGATGTATCCCTAGAGGGGAACATCTAGAAGAGAAACAATCGATCGCTCAGGTTAAGCGAAACGATAATCCTAGATCGACTGGAGAGTCTTTCGTAGAGGATCTCGCTGTGGTTGCGCAACCCCAGCTAGAGGAAGTAAAGGGAATAAGTCCCAAGATTACAAATACGGCGGAAATAAGTTCCCCGAAACCCGCGGGAATAAGTCCCCGGGAAGACGAAGGAATAAGTCCTTCGAAGCCTGAGGGAATAAGTCCCCAGGAAATGACAGAGACATTGAATGTCATAGTCAATAACGGATCATGTGTAGGCGCTTATACACTTGATCTGATTGCGCCTCCGAAGTTAACTTCGGAGATCACTCAGTTGCCAACGCTCGAACATAAAAGGTTCTTGCGTGATCTGCGTAGTGGCAAAGTCAAGCAGATCTGCATACTCGTCGCTGACGACGAGTATGTAACCGACATAAGGTCAGCAACAGTGTTTACTGAGAACGAGAGAGTTCTCAGTAGTTCATCTATGGACGAGAGTGTCCTAGATGAAA